ACCACCTCCCTGGGCAGCCCCTTCCAGAGCCTGACAACCCTTTCCGTGTAGGAATTTTTCCTAATGTCTAGCCTAAACCTGCCCTGTGTTGAATTTTGCCCAGAAACTAGACAAAAAGTCACATTTGATCCACGTCGCACCCAAAAGCTGGGCAAGAAGGAAACGGAGGAGGTTGTGTGGACTTGATGAAATGGATGAAAAGCTGGACATGAGCCGGCAATGTGCGCTGGCAGCCCAGAAGGCCAACCGTACTCTGGGCTGCATCGGGAGAAGTGTGGCCAGCAGGTCGAGGGAGGTGATTCTGCCCCTCTACTCTGCTCTGGTGAGACCTCACCTGGAGTACTGCGTCCAGCTCTGGAGCCCTCAGCACAAGAAGGACATGGAACAGTTGGAGCGGGTCCAGAGGAGGGCCACAAAAATGATCCGAGGGCTGGAGCACCTCTCCTATGAGGACAGGCTGAGGGAGTTGGGGTTGTTCAGCCTGGAGAAGAGAAGGCTGCGGGGAGACCTGATTACAGCCTTTCAATACCTAAAGGGGGCCTATAGGAAAGATGAGGAAAATCTTTTTAGTAGGGCCATCTGTGACAGGACAAGGGGTAATGGTTTTAAACTAAACCAGGGTAGGTTTAGACTAGATATAAGGAAGAAATTCTTTACAATGAGGGTGGTGAAACCCTGGCACAGGTTGCCCAGAGAGGTGGTGGAGGCCCCATCCCTGGAAGCATTCAAGGCCAGGTTGGACAGGGCTCTGAGCAACCTGATCTAGTTAGCGGTGTCCCTGTTCCTGCAGGGGGGTTGGACTAGATGACCCCTAGGGGTCCCTTCCAACCCAAAACATTCTATGATTCTATGATTCTATGATACTTGGTAGAACAAGAATTAGTTTTGCTAGACCAGGAATGTAGACCACACGTGACTTACAGTCCACAGCCTGCGTTCTGTGGAAGTCCAGAGCCTGGAAAATACAGCATTTTTCATCTTTTTAAAGTGCTCACCACTTTTTTCCCCCCAGGAATTCAAAACTAGCTGTTCAGTTTCTTACTGTGTTAACACCATCTATTACAATTTGTGGCTTTCCTTCCTTTTACTTAGGCCAGCTCCCTGTTTTTAACTGCTTTCAACCTGAGTTGAAATGAGATAGTATTGCTGGCCAGAGCATAGCACTCCTTAAAACAAAAGGGGCAGAACATTACACTGTGTATGTAAGTCCTGAAAGATCCAAATTTCTCTCAATTGTCATTTAATGTTATGAAAAAACTTTTTTCACTACATTAACAGAGCAGTTAAAAAAATCCAGATGCACTGGAGAGCAAAGTGGGAATTTTTTCACCTTTCTTTTCTTGTAGTGCACATATTCTAGGAAATCCTAAAACATATTTTTCCAGCCAATGAAGTCAAAACAAAGAAGCTTTTGCAGTGCTCAATTTTAAAAATAGCATGTAGGCTGGCAGAACACAGTCTACATAGGATTAAGCAGGGAGCACTTTGTATATTTGAACCCTTAGCTCTTCTCTCATTCATTTTCTTTTATACTATTTGCTGGTGAACACTGTGGATCTTTGTGGAAATCATCCACGTGCTATTCAACAATCCATATATTATGGTTCTGTCCCTGACCGTGTGTGCTCACACTCGCTCACTCTGCTTTCCCTTCCACTAGTGCTTAAGGCAGAATGTGGGTATCTGCCAGTCACTAGCCCTGTAGCTTTCCCCTTGTCAGAAACTAATTTTAGATTTACTTATCCCAAGACAAAATAGAAATTTGATTCTGTTCCCATGAGGATTCTGTTGCTTGGAAAGGACAAATCTGTAATTTGTGAACCTTCTAACTTTTTAGTTGCCTCTGGTTCTGCAACGGTTTTGCTTTCACTATTGTATTTCAGTAGACTCAGTACAGGATAGGTTTAAAACAGACCATGTTGCAACCTTTGTGCTCTTCTAACAGAGCATGGGAGGGGTGTATGCTTTGTTTTGGAGGAACGTGTTGTTGCTGAAGACTGCCTTAAAGTGAAAATGGCATCTTGAGATGTTTGTAAGCATATAGATTAGATTGCTAGGTATCAAGTGCTTTGTGCCAAGAGGACAGTTGCGTTGCACAAAGGATAATTTCTCTTGGCAGTATTTCTTTCTGTGAGAGTGTGTCACACCAAAACGTGAAGGTTCTCAAACCTGCTCCCAGATCATGAATACTGTTTGCAGTTTGGGTAGTTAGATAAAATACTGTGTTGTAATGTGGCGTCTTTGAGAAGGAAGTAGAGAAAACACTGGTAGGAGAAAGCAGCCCATCCGAGTTTGCACAGCTGGAACCAGAAAAAGCAAGAGTTGCAGCAGTGGGCAGGAGCACTAAGAACTGTTACTTCTAGCTGGCTTGAAGGAAGAACTGAGCAAGAGAGAAAATTCAAAAGATTAGTAGATAGATGGAGTCAGATGGAAGAGAATTAATTTTTATATATGGAATAAGAAGTTTTGGATTAAGAAGCCCCATCCCTGCAGCCACTTTGCAGTGAGAATATCACTGCCTGACTGCAAGAAGATGTATTCTGCTTTTGTGTTTCCAAAATCAAGTCTAGTATGTCATGTCAATTTAGTATTGTCTAGCACTTTTCTCAGTGAGCCATCTGTAGAAAATTACCTTGAAAGAGGATCTTTTTCTGTATCCTAAGAATTTCCTGTGCCAACCCGTAGGTCCATAATGAAGAGGAGTGGGAATAGGACTATCAGCCCACGTTTGCTAATGCTGCCATAAAGCTGGCACAGTTGGAAAACAGCAGCTACCCCGTGACTTTGAAGAACAGGTGGAAACCGTGACATAGTTGTTGAGCCAATAGTATTTCACAAGCAAGCAGACGCCCAGCCGTAGCTATTGCTCATAAATACCCGTAGCCAGCGTGCTGAGGGATATGAATAAGCATCAGTCAGTTGGCTAGTAGCAGGCACTGCTGAAGTGCCATTATAATCAATGTAAATGGCATGCTATTTAAAAAGAAAAACGTTAACCAACCTGGCATAGTAAAATCGAAGGACTGCTAATTGTAATTTATTAGAATAGCTATCCTGCAGTTCAGAGCTGCTGTTCAGTTCATCTTGCAAACTTGAATCACTTTTGTTTCCAGAAGATGCAGGTAATTGCTCAGGGCTTAGTTTGGGTTTGTTCAGTGCAGCGAGATCTCTGTCATTTGACTCCTGCACAGTATAAAACCCCTAAATGATAGTAGTGTTTAAACTTTTGAAGGCATTACTGTAGTTTTTGGATAATTTAAGTGCATTAGGCCTATACAAAATTAAACCTGCCATTTTTATGTGGGTATGTTTTCTATGTGTACATAGGAAAGTGATACATCATATAGTTAAGTCTAAGTTCAAATAACTCCCCCTCCAAAAATAAATCCTCTATAAATAATGAGACTTACGAACTAGTTTAGTTAGAACTGAAGATGAAAAATTGTTTAAGGAAGAAGAACTTCACTAGGAAGGACTTATCGCTTGTTTGTTACCTGTTGCCATTGAGCGCATACGGTGTTTTTGTGGTCTGAGACTTTATCTGCATTCTCATACTCTTTTTTTTTTTTTTTTTAAACCTGGCCTACTAGATGTTTTGCAGTTTCTTGAATTCAGGGGTTGGGCTTTAGAGCAGAGCACTTGTGCTTTGTTTCCATGGCTTCTTCAGCAAGTCCAAATAGGCTTAAACTCCTGTTGATCATTTTATAGGGAAGTAATTGCTACACATGAAGTCTTCCCAAAACATCTAAGTGGCATATACAAGAGCAAGCCAAATTTAAGACAAAATCAGTGTGAAGCAAGTGGAACTGGCCCTATAGGCCATTTGCTTCTGGAATCCACTTTTTTCTTTCCTTTCTTTGTCTTCCCCACCGTGGGTAGCTCCATTCATACGTGGACAGCTGCATTCAATTCTTGCTGCTCACTTCATGCCACTTACCTCATAATCCAGACCAGAGGTTAACGTATTCAAGCTCAGTGAGGAAAAGTGTAGAGGCATATAGGTAAACAGAGTCCCACATAATTGTAAAACTCTATAAAAATCTCCAGTCTCTATGTTCTGGGATATGTGCTGGGATTTTGGATATTTAGCCTTCTTGCTAAAGAACTTGTTTCAGCAGTGATACGTAAAACAAACACGACAAGAAATGTTGATGGTCCTGCTTGTACAGAAGACTTAATAGGAAGCAAGCAAAAGTGAGCTTTACAGTCAGATTTGAAGGAGCAAAATGTGATAGCTTGGGAAATGTGTTCTACTGACAACTGAAGGGCCCTAGATGCAGCTATTTTGTAATTCAGTATGCTAATGACTTCAAAGTGACCTGTGCTCCACTCTGCTGCAAATAGATTTCTTTGTATTGGTACACACAGGCTTCTGCTTTCTGGTCCATAGCCTTATTCATTAATCCTTACTGACATCTATTATTGAATTTGCCTTCTCTAAACAGTTGGTTTCCATCTCTGTTATTAAATCTCCATCCTAGCAAATAGATAAAAATTACCTTTAGAACACAGCCTAGTGAAGACACGAGCTAGTGACTCAGACATTCTTTTTCCTAAAGACAGTACCCCTACTGTTTAAATATGATTTTTTTTTTTTTTGTAGTTGATATTCACATGTGTGTTTGGATCTGACAACAGTTTTGTTCTCTTGGTGAGGGAATTTTTCCTGGAAGGCTACAAAAGCCCATTAATAGACCCTCACAATGCAGTGCTGAGGAGCGTGCATGCATGAACTACAAGTCTGCCAGCTTTTTGTGAGGCTCTGCAGGGGGCACTACACGGAAATAAAGCCTTTCAGGCCCTTTTAATGTAGTTCTGACCTTCCACTCTATATTAAACAGATGACTGGAACCAGAAAGATAGGTCATTGTGATTGCGGTTAATATTTGTAAGGACCAAAGCAGCTCTCAGCCTTTGAGGTAGAAGGGAATCATCTTAAGTGTGAAAATGTATCATCGCAAGAATGGGGAGGATCAAAGGAAGGCCAGCTGGTGCTCGGACATCTTTTCATAACCTTTATTACAATGCTAGAATACACTAACCTCAATGGGAAGTCCATTCAATTTGTGTATTTCAAATAGATAATCTGTATTCTGGTGAAACAAAGCAACCTAAAAAAGCCCCTTCTAAAAAGGGGGTGGTTGACACAAATTTGCCTATGATTTAATCATACTGGTTTTCTAAAATCAGCTTAGCTTTTTCAATGCAAATATATGAATGTATGACATGCTTATTTTGGAAGTGTCTGAAAATTTGTAAATTTAGGTACAGAGAGTTCTAGCTGATTTTACTGTGGTTTACTTCCACTTCTGAATAAAGGCCCTCTGCATTTTGCCATGCACAAAACGTGAGGCACAATATTTCAGGGAAAAACTATACAGAGCATTAAGTCGTCCAGGAGGTATTTATATGTGGAGGCATGAAAAGGCCAAGATTAAAGCTGACTAGTGTTGACAAACAGCAAAATTTAAGCTTGGGCTTCCAGGGAACATCCTACCACTCTAAGTATATATGAAATTAGCAATATCAAAGCAGAAAATGAATGAAGATTGCTGTTTAGAGGTAGGCTGTTACAGTAAAGTCCTGTGTCCGCAGGTTGAGGGCTGTGCTCCCAGATCTGTGCTAAATGGGTAGGGAAAAGCAGTGGGACTGTAGGCATAGACCAGAGGTGAGCACTTCTGCTGTGGTATTTTTTAGATAGGCAATACTGGGGATCACTTGAACATCAAAGTTCAAACTCAAGTGTTAAATGGTTTAGTTATTACTTTCAGATTGGGATTTCAATCAATCACTTTCTGAATTTGTTCCATGGATTCAGAATGGGGAAAGTATCCCTTCTACTCATTGAGTAGGGACTTACTTCCAACCAACTTTATTAAACGTTTTGGCTAAAGATTGACACCTATTTAAGAATTGCATTATTTATGGAGTTAGGCCGTGACAGGAAAGTCAGCAGTTAGTCTCTTAATACTGCAAAACACCAAATGGGCAAACGACTATTGCCTTTTCCTACCCAGAAAGCGACGGCAGACAGTCAGCGCGTCAGCTGAGTAATGACTGCAGCCTGTGAAACAAGTCTGAGGGGCGCTGAAGTTCTGACAGCTTCAGGAGATGCAACAACTTTGTTTCAATTCAAAAGTCATTAAAATCATTCCTAAGTTCTAAAGCTCAGAAGAAAAGGTATTTAATTTCTTTTTCTCCAAGTAATTTGCATGTCAAATCTCTCTCCCTCTCTCACGCGCGCTCTCTCCCTCTCTCTGCTGCCGGTGATGTCTCTCTCAGCAGCTGTCTAGTCATGAATCACTCCTGTCATCTGAAGCATATTTTTAACACTTCTGGACGTGCTCTAAAAGCAAATGCTGTTAAGCAAACAATTTGCACTGTTTTTCCATGCACCCTCTTCACTTCCCAAAACCTTTCATAATCATGATTTTAAAAGCTGGGTCACAGGGGAATCAGGTACTGGAAAATACAACCTTTTGTATTTGTGAGAGTATCATAACGTTACATCAAGTTCTCATGTTATGCAGATCTTCTGTCTGACTTGCAGAAGACTTGAAGGTGCCTGAAGCCTGAGAATTTCACTTCATTAAGATTCATATGAATGTTGCCTTTGGTTTCACTCATTGTAGTCTGCACCCTCTCAAGCTCAAACTTCAGTTTGAGTTTAGGAATTGAGCATACAAAAAGAAAATCACTGTCAAAGCTTAGCTCAGCTGCTGTTATGGTGAAGTAGATTAGATTATGCCATGTTTGCTTCAGAGTGGTTATTTTACAGCCTGAAATGGAAAACATAATCATGGAGCCTGATAAATTATTTGTCTTGTAATCATGAGTTTCAGAGCTACCACAAAAAGGACAATGACCAAAAAGGTTTTGATCTTAAAAGCTTTTCTGCTTTTCTCATCTCTTCTTTGGCAGAAGGATGACTGCTGGGGCCCTAGGGACCCAAGGATCTTCGCCAGGTGCCTGGAAGGCCTTTGGAATCATCCAGTAACAAGTCAAATAGGAAGAAAAGTGTATTTTGGTCTTCTCCCATTGGCTAGTAAGTGACTCTTCTGTCAATTCAAATATTTGTCAGGAATACAAGTTGTTGAGCTCTGGATCCAAATGATTACACTGGCATATGGGGAAAACAGGAATCCTGATTGTGCCCAGCTGGAAAGAACTTTCTCTTTCCAACTGTGGCTTTTAAATACCTAGGACTGAGTTAGTTTTGATTTTTCCAAAGCCTAGAAGCGATAACCCTAAAGGATGCTTTTGACTGAAGTCCTAATGCAAGCGTTCCACCAACGGTATTTATGAGCCACACACTTGCACTTTGTGTTTGCAGTTTACATCCCTTTATATTTAAGTGCTTAGAAGAACCCTAGTGAGACAAAATACTAAATAATAATTGAAGTCTAGGACATAATTGTGTAATGTATTTCTGATAAGGAATGCTCTCATTTGTGCCCTTGCAATATTGCAAGATTTGTGCCCTTTAGTATTGCAAGAAAAGCCTGACATATTGTGAGTGCCTAGAAATCAGAAAATGAAAATAATCTCAAAGTATTTGTAGCCGTTATTTGTAAGTCACATTTCTGATGCTTTAGGATATACCCACATGGTTTTTGAATGTGCGGTTTGTATCAAGCAATAGGTTCCCTCATCTCTCCCTTATTCCTCCATGCATTTAGGTTAAGCGATTTATTTTCTCCTGGGCCAAACGTCTCCCTGGTGCATCCTTGGTAGGAGGTTGGATTCGGAGTAATGGGCGAGTAAAGAGTTTGTCCACCGGGTGGCAGTGAAAGCTCGAGTTACGGAAGGGATGGATGGTCCCAGGGCTTGAACTGCTCCGCTGCGACTCCTCCGGCCTCGGTGCCTTCCCCCTGCACGTCCCAGGTCATCAGGCTGTGGCTTTACCCACAGTGATAAACCTCATTCCTCTATGTCAGGAAGCAATAATGTGTTAGCTCGTTTGCTATCTATGTCTTTAACAAACTGTAAGGAAATAACTTCTTACCCTAGACATACCTTCCGCGCAGAGCTGGAGGTAGCATTGCCAACAGCCAGAATATGCCTGTGCTTCAGTCTTGCAGATATTGTCATGTGATATAAATATAATTAGTTTTATAGTGTGCTTTATCACTGTGTGTTTTGTGAACATGTGTTCCTACCTAATGCCCTAATACTTTAAAACTGTTCCTCTTGCTGCAGGTGGTTGCACAAAGTGAGCCAGCTCCATTATGCTCGTGCAGTGGTCCCTTGGGAAATGCTCTGACCCCATGGCAGAGCTCTGTGGGCTCTGGGGACCTCTTACTGTTTCCTGATACTATTTTCTAAATAAACCCTTAATCACCTCTGTCACTTAACCTGAAAGGATCCTCAGCACACTAAGTACTTTTAACACAGCTCTGTTTTGAACTTACCCATTGCTGTTCTTTGATGGTATGATGCCCACCTGCCAACCCACCTACTACCTTAGGAAGTCATTCCCCACTAATTCTCCCTGCAGAACAAAAGTTTTGGCTTCCACTTCTGGCAAGGATCTGAAAGTATTGCACAGCTGCATGTATTCAAACTGAAAGGGCAGGGATCAGAGAAACCAGTCAAAGCATAAACAGTGAGAAGTTGTCTGTGTTCAGAATAAATAAAGTATGAGTGTTCGAGAATAGCACAATTGAAATTTCTTAGCTGTACCTTCCCCAGAATGGGAGGAGAATAGGTCAAAAATCAAGAAAAAAGAATCTGAAAGTGGTTCCTTTAAGATTAAGAAATAATCTCTTCAAAAAGTGCACAAAACCTAAAATCTAATAGTAAAGTGAAAAGTATGGATTTTGGTCCTTACATGTAATTTCCAAGGATGTCTTGATATGGAGTTGCAATGTTTGGCTTTGTGATTTTTGCCGTACAGGTTAGTACTAGATGCAGATCAAACACTACCGTCGGTTTTAAACCTGCTTACAGATCTGGCAGCGATAAAGGTATCTATAAAGTGTTATGAGTCAAATAGTATGACTTTGTCAGTACTTTACAACCCAACTACATTTCATCGCTTTACCATTTGTAGTAAGGGCTGTTATCACTATAACTGGTATTGCTGTGGTGGGACTACCTGTGCCACTGCCAGAAAAACAGTCGATTGCTTGAACTGAAACAGGATGTGCACCCCCCTCTTGCTACAGCCGAGATTTTGCTGCTGTAGCATTTTCAGCTCTGTTCAGTAGTATTTTTCTAAGTGAATCTTAACTTAAATGTGAATGTGTGTGTTTACGTGTTAGTTATTGAAAGCATATTGCTTTCTGCGTTTCCTGAGTGCACAGCAGCTGATAACCACAAGTACTATGCTTGTTTATCCTAAGTATTTCAAGTATTCAGCTCTACCAGAACTGTCAATTGATCTACTAATAGGCAGTTTTGTAATAGAGATCTGTTAAAAGACTGTTCCCCCAAAACATTCTAAAACAACTTGAATAAATTCTTTTGTAGAAAACAATTAATTTCCAAATATTTTTAATATTTTGGTACTAGTAACGTATTGGTTACTGGCTTTTTTTTAAGTAATCTAAATGAATTATGTACATTGGACAAGGGTGTTAAGGATATTCAGGCTCTTTGTTAGATTTGTAAAAGCACTTAGGTGTCTCAAAAAGACACCCTCCTGTACCAAAATATTAAAAATATCCCCATACACATATGTAAAAATGTCTTTAAAAGTCGGCCTTCAGTTTCCAGCACAGCTGGACATTGGTGTTCTTTAGAGTTTGTGTATACAATGTATGTTGGGTTGGTTACATTACTGAAGGAACACGTGAACCATATTTGCTATCCATTTGTAGTCAATATCATTATTTATGCTTGTATATGTGTAATTTGTCCCAAATGAGAGGAAGAGGAAGCTTGACCAGAATGAGATTTCTTTATACAAATGGAACTGCCATTGCACTCTGGTGTTCTGTGGGCATGATGATACCGTTTTTTTAAAAAAAAAATCATGTCTCAAACTGACATAATTGTAGCCTGAGCAAAAATAATGTTTTGAACAGGCTTAAACTTTCTCTGAAATGCCATGAGTTAATATGCTGACCCTCTAGAAAAGTGTCTTGAATAAGAAAGTAATTAAAAGCCTCTACAAATGAAGATCACAACTTTTCCTCAAAAGCAAATATTAGAGACTTAGACTTACTGAAGCTCAATATGATCTAGTTTAAGAAAAAGTGTTTATACAGATTAAAAGTTAGTGCCCTGCAGCAGGCAGAAAGCAACCAGTACCTGCTGCTGCTACTTCTAGGATGTTTTACAGTATCCATAGTTGCACGGTAGGACTAGATTGAGAGAACAGATAGGATAGCTCTTGAATGGCTGATGTCCTCTTTAGTAGTAGTGATAGATACTTCCTTGTCTTTGTCGAATGTTTCCTTATGCAGCACTCCTTTTTGGCTTTCTGGTAGTTGACATCTACATACGATAATTGGAGACAGATGAAATCAAGAGCAGACTACTGGGAAACAACAAAAACATCCATCTGCTCCTCTCTGTGTCCAGTGAGCTGTTGCTTTATGATCTTATGACTATCTGCAAATTCTTTTTTTGTTAAGAGCCAGTTGGATTGAGTTCAGCTGAGCAAAATGCGGTTGGGCAGTTGAGAAGGTATTAAAATACACCACTTCTGACTTCTTTGTAGGGATTATAACCTGAGATTGTCACTAAACTACTACTGTGAGTTAGCTTGGCCATCCCAATGCTCTGGAAAAATCGTCCTTTTCTGTCTCTCAAGCCTCAGGTCTGATTTGCTTTTCTTTCGGAATTCAGCTTTGTCTATAATGGGAAATGGAGCAGGGAATTGTTAGTTCATCTTTGTCCAGTGCTTTGAAGATGTAAAGTATTTTTGGAAGCTGCTTTTGGTACAGTTGCGCATATTCTCCTCAGGCAAAGGAATCTAACATTTGCTCTCCACAGCCTGCCCTGAGCTGAGAATTCAAGGAGCTCTCACTCCCCTCCTGTCCAAGTGGAGGTCTTTACTGACAGTTCTGACTGAAGACACTGATTCAAGAACCCGATTTATGGAGAGTCCTGAATGTGTTTGGCAGATTTCCTCAGCAGCTGTACTTTAACGCTCAGTGGGAACCCTATCTTTCTGGAATTGTTGCTCACTTGTCATTTTTATTTTCTATTTTTCACTGCATTTTCATTTTGACTAATTCTTTTTCAGATGTGCCCCATGTTTAGACATTTGATTTATTTAAAATTCATAAGTACTGGGTTTAGATTTCTTAGCATGTAGGGTGCTTAATGCCCTCAGTTGCAGTTTCCTAAAGTAACATAAGTCATTCAAATATAGCGGTGACAATGTTGCATGTTTTACAGGACACAAATAGGTTTTTTATGTTCTTAAGTCTCTTGCTGTGAAGTACCAGGAATCCTGTGCTAGTCAACATCTGTGCCGTCTGGATGTAGCTAGTCTTGGTTTTCATTTTTTCAGCTAGTAGAGAAGGAATTACTCCTGTGGCAACCTGACCCTGCAGGGTTAATACTATTTCTTTGAAGTTACTACTGATACTGCTTGCTACGTCTTTTTGTCATCGTTTTTCAAAGTATCTTCTCTTGCATGGCTTGTCAGTTTAAAGGAATGCAAAATGAGTTAGCAGGATAGGAAAAACTCTGTGTTTTAAAGCCATGATAAAGCTCTAATCTTACAAATGAGTGCAAGATACAGTGCACATAAGCTGTGAATGAGGTTTTGCTTTTACTGTTCTTAATAATAGGCAGGACTTGTGTGTGTAAAACCCTTTCCATCCAGGATATAAAACTAATAATATTACATCTTAATAGCAATACATTTTTAAGTCAAGAGTACCCTTCTGATGTTAGTTGATTAGTTACACAGTTACTCTGTTTCACGTGGGAATGGTCCAAAGCTGCAGCGGGGAAGGTTCGGACTGGACATGAGGAAGCATGTCTATACTGATAGGGTGGTCAAACCCTGGGACAGGCTTCCTAGAGAGGTGGTCGATGCCCCAAGCCTGTCAGTGTTTAATTACATGCTTTAGCTTTTAGTCAGCCCTGAAGTGGTCAGGCAGTTGGACTGGATGGTTGTTGTAAGTCCCTTCCAACCAAAATACTCTATTCCCCTTCCCTTCATTGCCTTGCTCCACCCACTCTGAAAAATAGGAATCTAATAGTAAGCACAGAACCTTGCTGTTTAGTAACACCTCTATTTGCAGTTCTGGTTTTCAGTGTACCATATTTAAAGCTTTATCAGAAAAAAGTACTTACAGTGGAGAGCTGCTGCAGTCTAGGCACCAAATTCTAATAATTCATTACTTCCTAAAAGGAATAATTCATCCTTTCAGTAAAGGTAGCTGGCTCATTCATGAGTTGCTTTGCAGGCTCCCTCTTATTTTTCACTTGTTAGTCATCTGGAGTGAGCAGATGTTTTGTACATCCCCCCCTCTTTGTCTTTCAACATTTTGATATCTTTGTAAATAAGAAGCATATTTAGGAGCCACAAAACAACACATATGAAAACTGCCATAGTCAATACATGAAACCCCTACAGATTTAGGCTTCTCTGTCACTTGGCTGTTTGGGAAATCTTTTCCTATTGTGCTGCATCCCTTTATATTCATTTCAGCTTTTCTTCTCATTATGTATTTAAATATCGATCAAGTTTTTAAAGTGCTGACCTAAATTATCAAAAGTGGTCATTAATTTCCTATGCCTCAGATTTTAAGTGCTCAAATTAAGAGTGGATCTTGACTAGCTGGCTCCATTTCCTTTGCTTGCTTGAAGCCTTTTAATTTCCCTGCTAAAGAAAGAGATACCCCAAAAGCACTTGGTGCTTTTGGCAATTTCAGTCAGTGGATATTGAAGTGAAAGTCAAATCTTCTTATCAAAAAATTCTATCACAAGTACAAATTGAATAAAAAAGCACAGACACGAATATACAGAGCTTTGAATTTACACGTACATTAGAAAATGCCTGCTTTTTTTTATTTTTTTCCCTCTGGACAAGTTGTATTTGCAAACTGAAATACAGCAAGATCAATGCCACATGCCAAAACTTAAATGGCAGCTTTTGAAAAATTGCCCCGTTAACCTGATGAGTTTCTAATTACAGTAAGATGTAAAAGCTTTTTTTCCCCATGGTATGTAGGATTATGTCCTAACAGTTTTTTTTAAAGCTACCCTGCTGTTAAAATAATTTAGCTGCAGTGTTTGAGTATAATTTGTCCTATATTTCTTTTGCTTTCTCTGAGGAGTTACATAACTTTTTCATTTCTAATGAGTTTTCCTAAATATAAATTGTCATGTTATTTTATGCACCTCCTTTGGCACCAAACCAATTAATGTGAAGTGGTTCAAGGCCAAAGAGAAGTCTAGGATCCCATCCTAGCATTCCTGGTGAAAGGTTTGTTTATGCACATTTTGTTTTAAATAAATGGCTCAGCGGTTAAGTCAATCTTCTGTTGAAATTGATCTTATCTTTTAAATTCATGTAATATTCCAAATTAATAGAGGATCGTTTGAATAGCTGCATGACCTTGTGTTACTTAGAAGCTGTTTAAAATCCATTTGTATAATAGCCAAAACATTATTGTGCTTTCCTGAATCAGATAACTTTAGCCATTTAAATGACTTTACATCATAAACAGGATTAACCTGGGAAGAGATCAG